CGAGGTGAGGGCGATCGGCGTTGAGGCGCCGCAGTCACTGCGTGGCTTGTATGGAAGGGATGGGTGCTGTTATTCGTTTTCCTTGGTGTGCGTTGGTACGCAGAGGCTGTGTGTACGGAATCCGACGGTGGTGGAATTTAAATGCTGCTCAAGTGTGTCTTCTTCGATGGGCGTTTCGCTGCCGCGTGATTCCCGCGACGGAACAGTACTCTGCGACTGCGCATGCCGCCGTACGTTGTGGCGGTGGACGAACGCTTCCTAGTTGTGGCTTCTGCCGGTCACTCCGATGATGCCGAGCTGCAAGGGGCCGGCAAACGCACCCGAGAGGGAGGGGGCTCCGCCTCCGCTCCTGCTGTGCGTTGGCGTTGGGAGCTGACATCTGCCTCGTTGTTTTACTCTGTTCTTGTGTCGTGATGAGGGACGGCTCTGTTTGGCCGACTGCCGCTGTTGCCTCTCTGTTGTCCAACACCCTCGCAAACGCACTCACACTCCTTTCTGCGGGGAGGAGCGATCATCGTCGTGGGCGCGTGGCGGGGCCGCACGATGCGGTGGCGGGGGTTAATTTGGCTGCGCTGCCCCCGGCAGTGTGTGCGGTGCGTGCGTGAGTGCGTGTGTGTGTGCCCCGCACCGTGTGGGCTGCGGTGGCCCTTCCTCTTTCCTTCTCTCTTGCTGAATGCGGCTGCGTGGGGGTCGTGTGTCTTTGTGACTATTTATTTTGTCTCTCATTCTCTTTTTGGCTGGTGGTTGGTGTTCAGCTGCAGCTCAAGCCAACAACAACTACAAATTAAAAACAAGCAAGGAAACAATGCCTCCAAAGCGAACGAGGGCGCGTGCTGCGGAGAGTTCCGCCACTGATCTGCCGCGGGGGCAGCGGCATGCGAGGGCGGAACCCGACAGTGGCGATTCCACGGCACCCCCTGCACAGCGCCGAAGGGTGGAAGAAAAACCTGCACGACAACGCTGGACCCTCACCAGTACGGTGAAAGACGTGCTGCTGGAGGGAGTAGATGTTACAGAACAAATGACGCTAAACGACTTCATTAGCAAGTACGTTGGCTCCAGGTTCGTGGTCGATGAAGGCCGCGGCGTAAAAATGTGGATGTTTGCGCGTATGCCTGCGAGGTGCGTCACCGACCCGGAGCTTCGTGACAGCGTACTCAGCGTACCAGCGTATCAGCTCCTGAAGGACGCACCCAATCTACATGCCGACGCACGCAAGCTTGCTGAGCACGGTGTGGATTGTCTTGAACACTGGAAGGAATTTGATCAGAAGGGTATTGTATCCAATGTTTCTTTGGGAAAGCTTGACAGCGCGCTTAAGGTAGTGGAGAAAAACGAAAAGGCAAGACAGAAGAAACAAGCAAGGGCGAGGCAGGAAGAGGAAGAAAGGAAAGGGCGGGAAGAAGCAAGGGCAAGGCGGATAGCGGAAATTGCCAGCCGACCGATACCGGAGGGATTGTACCGCTCGGTGCTCAACGCGAGGTGGAGCCACGTCTTGGAATTACCCGAGGGCGAAGGGGAGAAAATGGAGGTGAAAGAGGGCCAACGACCAGCCCAGTCGTGGGTGTACAATATGCAGGGCATAACTTTTCAACTGGATGACGATGCAGAGCAAATTCGTGCACCACGCCCCAGGCTAATGATAGTTTCTTCAGAGGCGGGGTGGCTGTACTCGCTAGTAATGTCTCAGGCTCTTACAGACTGCTACGTTAACCGTGAGGTAGATCGTGTTTGGAGGATCGTCCAGGGCGATTTAGATGGAGAGTTTGTCACTGAAGAGAAACAATATTTTGACTTGAGGCGGCGCCTCGTGCTTGGAACGCCCGGGATAGGGAAGTCGATGAATGCAGGCTCCTACATCCTCTACCAGCTGTTGCGCTACAGAACCAAGAAGCTCAACGTGGTTGTCTACTGTTTTGGGGGAGATTTGGCGTACGTGTTTGACAAGACGAAGAAATCGGTGACAGTATGCAGCGGTGCGGGCAATGTAACCGACCTTGTATACGATTTGGCGTGGCGGCGTAAAATGAAAGGGTATATTATCTACGACGTGGATGAAAAGGGACATGGTCCGTCGAGGGCTTTTCCGCCATCTACATCATGGGGCATCATTGTGTTGTCCTCCCCAAGCGAAAGGAACTTCAAAGGGTGGGCGAAGCAAATGATGGCAGACCTTATCGTTATGAATTGCCCTGACAAATACGATGCGAAGGCGATGTGTGCCTGGGAGACGCGCAATCAGTCAGCACAGGAGCAGGTGAAGCGCTGGAAGTTGGTTGAAAAACGCATGGATTATGTGGGACCGATTCCACGATTCATTTTTGATAGGACCAAATATGTGGGGCGCCTGACCGCGGCTGATGGTGCTTTGGATTTGATCACCGCTTCGACGGCCGAGAATTACATTTTCATTAGAGGTATGGCGATGTGGCCTGCGGATGACGCGTCTCACAAACTGGTGATGGCTGCCCGAATCAGAGGAAGAGACGATGATGAGACGTTTGTGAACCTGCCGATCTGTTCATATCTTGGGAAGAAACTAATGGGCAAGTTGACAGCGATAGGCAAACAAAGGGATTTTTTGTACCAAGTGTTGAGGACGAGGCGTTCGCTTTTGTCAGAAGTTCTGGAAAAGTATGGTGTGTACGCATTCACGGACAGGGGCTTTGTGGATAATGTGCTAAAGCAGCTCAAGCCGCTGAAGCCACCAGAGGGACGTGAGACACGGCCATGTGTGCTGCAATCGCACCCTGCAAAGCATCCAGACAGTTCAGTTGAATTAGCTCCACTGAGAGACATTGATGGGAAGATTGGTGTGGAGTATGGGGTGTTGTACGTGCCGTTGGACATGGGATTTCCGATGATAGACGGCTTTTTCTTTGTCGACTCGCCCCGGAAGACGATGGTTGGGCTGCAGACGACTCTGGCGAAGCAGCATCACACCACCGTCAGCAAAGTGAAGCTGTTCAATGAGCAAATGACAGAGTATTTTATTAACTGGGGAACTTTTTCCAAAAAATTGTATTGGGATATTATTTACGTGCAGCATGGAGACAGTGAGGCAATAAACACGTGGCAGAAATGTAATGCCGACGCGCAAAATGAGCCGAAGACGAGGACACGCAAAGCTGGAAAGAAAAACAACGAGGAGGAGAAAAGGAAAGTGAAAGAGGAAAAGAGGATTAAGGAATTTTGGGATAAAGAGGTACGTCAATACCAGGTGGCGGTATCAGATGAAAGTCTCAGACCGAAAAACAATGCCCAACGTCGGCGACAGTCAGCGAGACAAGTAAATAATGATACAACAACCCAACGTCGGCGAAAGCCAGCGAGACAACGAAAGAATACGAAAAAAGCCCAAATTCAGCAACGAGCAGCAGCAAAAAGGACTCCAAATAAAAAATAGCAGTTTGATTCTATGAAGAAATATTTTAGGTAATATTTTTTTTTATATCGTTGATTATTTATGTATGAATAGGGAGGCAATAATTAGGGGATCACTCTGCCGCGCGCCAGCGAATAATCATTACAGCCAGTGATATCCCAGTAGCATC